CATTTAGTAAATAAATGTGAGGTTCTTTGTCAATAAAAATTGTCAATGGCATGTGTATAGGTAAGGAGTTAAAACAAATGTTCAAGAAAGGATCGGCTCCTAAGCCTCCTTGTTGTTAGGATACTCACGGTAACGATCTACGTTTTAACTGACACAGGTAACATCAGCAATATTTACTACAAAACATCCAACAAAATTGATGTTTGTACATTTGCCCTGCGCCACATCCTTCGGTAATCCTGAGGTGATTCACGCCGTCCCCGTGTGGAGCGTGGGAGATACAGGAGGCCGAGGTCCTGAGACGCCTGTAGTGATCATATCGCTCACATAATGTCACATACTGTATACAGGACGTGGTCCATAACTATAGTATGTGTCGATGGATAGACAGGCAGTGTGCACGTTTAGCTGCAGAATCTGCCATCACTACACATGTGATAAGTTGAGGTTGTATCATTATTTATCTATTGGTTTGGAAGAAGTTGCGATAGGTTATAGGTTACATAATAGATTAACATACTCCATTGTAGTTGTTAATCTCTATCTGTATTGAAAAGGATTATAATATATTTTTTCGTACGGCTTGTATAATTTGTGTAGAGTGAATTTTTGTTGTGTGCCATGTTTTTATGTTGTTTAAATAAATCAAAAACTATTTTTTACTGACTTTTAGGACATATTTGTGGACTATATTGCTTTTTCCTGCTTTTAAATTCAGAAAGGAAAACTCAAACTGTAAAACAACAAGAAATAGGGAAACTGTTATTCAATATCAGAGATCTCAACATGAAACTACATCAAACAGGCGTAACATTTTTAATTGGACCGAGAAGACTGCTTATAATATTTTAAAACAAATGCTTACATGTACTAAAATACTACCAGTGACTACCCAGAGTAGTCTGTAGTAGACACATAATGGAGCAAATTGGTCATTGTAATGGCTTAAGAGGAGACGGTATCGTACAGATACATTGTAGAGGTTAACTATAAGAAAGGACCACGAGGTCCTATGTTCGCCTCAATAAAGAAATCATTTCATTTCAGTTCATTGTATTTGTTATGTATAGATACAAAATTATACCAACAAAAGGTTACACACAACTTACATTAAAATGTTGTTATCTATTAATTACGATAAAATATTATTCCATTTTAACAATACATATTGCATTGTTAAAATATTGTTAAATATTTTTTTAAAGTAATTGTTCTGGATAAGTAGAACAATCCCTAAGTTATACGATAATTAACTACCGCATAGAAAAATAGAACGGCAGCCGTTATCAATCATTGAATATTTGCAAATGAACAGATACTTATACATTTGCATATTTCTTGCATGCTATATGAATTTAAGTAATAGTATTTTTATGTTACATGTAATTGATGGAATAAATATGTTATATAAAATAAACTATATAAAGGCTTTCTAGTTTGGTAAGGAATAGTTTTCAGCTAAACTTAAACATAGCAAGCCATGCAACGAATTGATGACACAGTTATTGTAACAAACTAGATTAAATTGTTAGTACAATATAACAATTTTTGTATACTTTCGCTTTCTATCAATATAACTAGATAAAGCTATTACATCTTTATAAAACCATTTACTAGAAGAGTGAAATTCCGTTTATTTTTACTCATATTGATTATTACTATTAATTATTGTTTTTACTGGATCATTGGTTATTAAGGATGATTTGTTAAATATTGATAGATGTATACAATCAAAGACATATGAAGTAATACCTGTAAGCCGATGCTTGAATTAAAATATGATTTTAATTTTGTCCCCTGTATTAAAATGGGAGTGAACAACTTGTAAACTCACAGAGATGAAATATGATCAAAACCAATAATAACGATTGAACCTCCTTACTTCCAAGCAATAACTTTTGCCGTACAACCATTCTCATTAAAGTCCAATTTCGTGCAACAGGTCAGACATGCTACCATTTAGGGACGTGTAAGTTATATGAGACAATTTAATCTTTGGCTCGCTCCTAACCCACTTGCTACACGCCTAACACTCGATTAATTAAGCCTTTTTTGGTAAACTATGGTCGGATCATAGCCATTATCATATAGTATCCATGCTATTATCTTAAATGAAAGTTAAAGATTGGAGTCAATCAATCTATGAATTCTAATTGACAGCTTAATGAAAATTTACCTATGAAGATAGACAGGTTGCACTTTATTGATGGTGATATGAAGGTTTACACAAAAAGAAACTTTCATAGATTTTATTGACATTCAACAGGTTTATTTGAGCAGGAAGAATATAAAATAAAGCCTTCAAGAACCTGCAAATATTCATTAACGTAATATTATACGTATGCCACTGGTAAATATTAACAGTATTCATACCAAAAACCAATGTGAAACATCCACAAATCACTTAAAAATACAGTATATATAAAGCATTAGTTGCCCTGTCACTATAAACCGAAAATTATTGTAGATCAGGTATATTTTATATTTTTTTTCTGTTTCATTACAATCTACAATGTTCAGATTAAATTTCCTCCTTATTGTAGTTTATGTTTACTTTCTTCATTAGCTGTTTTAATACAAAGTAAAAAATAGTATATTTAATCACTAGGGCGTAAAGTAGCTCTTTTCTACCGGAGCTGAAGTGTCGGGTTGAAAAGACGCTTTTTGCTGATGTGATGATCAATATTTTCGTTGTATTGCGACATTATCTAACAAACTAAGCTAGAAAACGATACTACTTTTCATGTGAAGATAACCCCTCGAAAAACTTTCAATTTTTCTGATGAGCAAGCAGCTGTTTATTAGTATGATTCAAAAATAATTTCATCTATTACGATTGTGTTACATCATACTGTTATATTATATGTATATTGTATATTATACTATCGATATGACGAACTATTAACGAGAATGTAACCATAAGCTACAACCAATTAAATAAATCGATACATAATTTTGATACATGTGATTGCTTGCAATCGAAGTTTACAACAGCTGACTTTTACTACCTAGGGACTAAAAAGGCTATTTACTACCTAAGAGAGTAAAAGAGCTACTTTAAGAGCAAAGCATCTATTAAAACGGCTGTTTTTGCTGCAGTATGACGAAAATGATATTTTGCAATCCTTACATATTTTTTTAAAACTACTTGTAAAATAAGTAAGGCTAGATTATTTAATTGTATTGGCTTAATCGGCCTTTTTAAAAGTTTCTGGAAATTAAACTAAAAATAATCGTTATATGACGGCCCCAAAGTCATACATAGGTTCAAAGTAGTGATTTTAGATGTGATACACCCCACTCTCACAGCATTATAAATAACAATCATGGTACTACTATGAAGTAATGTATAAGAATTCTAATCAATAGTTTAAGCGTATGATTTGCAAGTCTCAAGTCTGCAATAATTTATACAACTGATAAATATCGAAGAAATTCTCACAGTTGATGATAAATTCCCAGATACGTCAAACGGCAATCGAACTGCTGGAGGCTTTAGGTCTACAAAAGGGCATACTCATTCTGACACCTTGGTCTGATAAAAATAATAAATTGCAACATGTACCGTCGTTGGCGTAGCAAATCCCCTGATTAATCCTTGGACGAGAGGCCGGCTGTCTGCGCAGGCGCGGTGGACGTGTTATCAACGCATGCACATTACTTGCTCGAGTTTATCTAAGCAGGATGAAGAGCAAATGCATTCTAAATGTCAACTAGTTGATTGTACAATTACGAATGTAGGAAATAAATCGCGTTCAGGGAAATGAATCAGCGATAAAAAATTTTCCCATTTGGCCATATTTCCCTATTTCCCATAAAAAAATTCAACTGTGATTGTTACCTGACCAGTTGGTATCGCTTCTCGCTGGCTCACACGAATTGTAAAAAAATCAATTTTTACAACTGCCTTTAAGCTATATTGATTTTTCAGTTTCAGTTTCTTCAAATGCGTTAAATTTCAATTTAAATTGCTGACTTTCAAACAATAAGTAAGGAAATTTCATTAAAGAATATTATTTTTATTAGTACTCATGGTATACGATCAGGATATAATGTTACTATATTAAACAGGTTTTTATAAAACCGTAGACAATTTTAGCGAGGGCGCACATGAAAAGAGCCCAAAAACTCAGGCAGACGCTTGAAAAGCGCTCGGACCTCCATGGTCCCTCCCAGGACGGTGCGAAAAGAGCCCGGGCTCTTCCTAGAACTTTTACAACGAGTCTTCAAAAGAGAAAGAACCAATAACACAGTTGAATTACATGAATTTATTTACAATATTAAAAGATACACTGTTAAAAGATGCATTATTAAAATATAGATTATTAAAAGATATATACATTACTAAAAGATATAGTATGTTTACCTAACCTAACCTAACCCAACCAAACACAACGGGGACACCGAAACTGCCACGACGTTTTACGATCATGCTCCATACTGAAACTGCCACGGCAATTAATGAGGATTATAAGGGTGTTTTTGAGAGGGCTAGAAACACTGAAACTGCCACGGCGGATTCCCCAGATAGACGGGGAGAAACGGGAGACTTAAAATTCCCATTTCTGTCGTAACCTTTTAATTTCTTTCACAATAATACGTTCATTGGAAAAATAAGTGATTGATTTGCCCTTTCGTATTTATATTTCGAATTCCCCTAAGCTATTACCACGGGTTTTTTTTTTTAGCTTATGACCTCAAGGGTTACAAATACGATTGGGAAGTGATGCACATTTATTCTTGTAAGATTCTGTACAGCCAAACACTTATTCTTCTTTCACAACAAGGTTTCACAAGGAGTACAGTATTACAAGTGTCTGATAAGAAATGTAAACATTGATAAGACAGAAGGAAGTGTGGTAGAGGTAACTGCCACCAGGTTCGCTGGAACGTTGTTTTCAGTACCTGTACATTCTCCCCTCCTTCATCAGTCTATCTCTCTCACTCAGTCTCTCCCTCGCTCCTCGTGGTTTCTGTTTCTTCCTTCTCCTTCAGTTGCAGTCAGATCGCGGAGAGTCGCGCGTGTAGCTTCTTGTGAGTGTGTGTGTGATGTGAGTTGTGTTTGGTTATACCATTGGATTACGGCATTTACTGTAAGTACTACTATCTATGGTACATAACAGGATTGTATGTGTTAACTAACTGTTAACATTATTTTGTTTATTAGTTAACAATTACTCGTACGTACTTAGGGGACAAGTTGTATTCATTAGATTACATTTACACACCAGAGTGTGTATTTTAAGATGAATGATGGTCGTTGAAGGAGTGAGATGTTAGTCTTGGTACCAACTAAGATCGGGGGTTTTAGCCAGCACCTTTTATTAAAAGCTCCGGTTATAAAAAGTTCGAATTTCTAGAAATCAAAAAGCTATTGACTTTTCTTGAATTAACCGTAAATATTCTAATTTCTAGATCATAAATAACAGAGAAAATGAAGGAATAATTTGATCAAAATTCAGCTATTACATTATTGTTCTGTTCCTTGAAGTTTTGAATAGAACATTGAATGTTTTTATCAACATACAAATTTTTATTTAGTAAATAAAATAATATGTTTTGGTAAACCCAGAAGAGATTTCAAAAGTATCAAACATGATTTTAACAGTTTAAAAGTGCATTGTAGGAGAAAACAATAAAGTACTGCGTCGATAGTAAATTTACTTGTAATTAACACAATTTGGCAAATACTATGAGAATAACTACATAACTATGTATTGCATAGTGCTATGATTCTAAAATGAAGCGAATTCTTTATTCAAGAAAAATGAACCTTTAAGCTAAATTCCACTTGAAATCTTCAGCATATTATCCTATTATATGATGATTTACAGTAAAGAGTTTTCAAGATAGGCCTATAACTGCAAATTGTTGGCTAAAGAACAAGATAAATTAATCTAAGACTTCAGTAACTCCACTCGTTTAAGTCTCTTCTGCCGTACCTATTAATAGATGGATAGATGTTCAGTTCACATTATTTACTTAAATATTACAATTATCAGTGAGACTCTATCGTAAAGTAAATAGCAATGGTGAATAGTAAATATAAATATACATTACATTATGGAAATACAATAATAGTAAACGGGAAAAGAGAGGGAGATACAAACGGCCAAGTGAAGGTAATTTTAAAGATCAGCTGACTCGCTGTTCGAAATATTCTCTGTCACTATTCATGTACTGTATACCTTTACAGGTTCACCTTTCGAATGTAAAAATAATAAGCAACTAGTTTTAAATCCACACAATTATAGTGTTGAAATTAATTTCGACCAATGTACAATCTAATTCCATTACAACTTTGTGTAGTAAACTTACTGTAAAAATCAAAATTATGATTCTTTTGTATAGGTTCTAAATTCAAGGTTTTAAAACGTAAAATTCATAGTAGTCAGCCTGCCTTGGTAGATCAACCGATAAAAGTAAACTGACCAAAAAATGTATTAGGCAATAGTGAACATGTAAAATAATACTTACTGTATATTTTCACAGACTTTGATTTAGGCCTATCTGTATCTTCATGTCTAATTTGACTTAACTGTACCTGCTATTGTATGACACTCTGTTGAAAAATATAAACCATTGATTTTTACTCTATCGGTAAAAAATTATACCAATCAAAGTGGTTTGCAAAAATAAATTAGATAAACAAATTAAAAATATATTGTTCGCCTATGAATTACAGACTTATTAAAAGTAGTTGTAGGAATAGTTTTATGAAATCAATCAACCTTTAGATTTGTTATGGTCTATTGTATAAGTAGATGTTCTTAATTTGTCTGCAATCGCCTTAGTTATCATGCATACAAATTGTTTTTATAAAATCCGCGATTTACAAGTTATGACTGATTATAGGTAGAATTATCTAGTTTATCTATTATCCATAAGTTCTGAGTAAACCCAAGCCTTTTTTTGTTTTCCCTGGTTGTTCTTTACGTAATATGACCAGTGTTTTATCCAAGAAATGCATATAAAGGAACAAGCTGATATGCTGTTACACTGTCTGTTTTATGGTCTTGTACTGTAGTAACAGATCATTTCTCTATGTCAGATGATGCGGCAATTAGTTTACTTATGGTCGTGCTCGTTAACTCAACTAACAACGACGCAGTTTTATTATTGCTCTAACATCAGATTCTTGTGTTAAAGAGTGTCGAAACAGTCATCTTTTAGTATTATTACTGCTATTGTAGTACCAACAATAAAATATAGCTACATTGTGAGTCCGACATAAAATAGTTAGGCCTATATAGAACCTTGATAAGATATTGAGTAATTTAATTTTGTACGCATTTTTAAACTAAGGGTCCCATTGTTTTCATTTTATTTATTTATTTATTTATTCGCAACGGCAAACACCATTTTACAAACAATACATTATACAATCCAATACATTAGCAAGCAAACAATAGCAAAAGCAATTCTAAGGTAGCATATTCGAGCAAAACAAACAGATATGAGATAAAAATTAGAAGAATTGAGCAAAACTCGGGAACATGAGCAATAAAAAAATACAAAATTAACACGAGAAGAAGAAAAAACCCTACAACAGGTGATAAGTATTCTACTGTACGATTATTATAAAAGGTTGCTTAACTTGTAATCGTTCATTTGAGTAGGCTATACATAAAATAATGGTAAGATTAGTCATGCGTAGTGAAAGTAAGAATAAACATACATTCAAATCAAATCAAATTATCCTTTATTCATTTAGTACACAATATACATAAATAGCTTATAGATACTTATAAATACTTATAAAGGTTCATTTTTGTAGATAATAATAATTTCCTAAGATTATGAGTGTTTTGTAGCACGCATTAGTAGCACGCATTATTAGACATAGGCTAGAAGAATAATGGTAAACCTGTATCAAATGTAGTTGTATAGCACGTTACAACACACATAGATAAAAGAAATTTGACGACTAATTTGTTAATATAAGAAACTTGTAGAAAGTACCTTATTTGTCTGATATCTTGAGCTAGCTAGATTACTGAGACTAACTCGCTGAAGAAGTCGGGAAAATAAAGTAATTTATATTATACACTAACATGGTATTTTTCTTGACACCATATCTAGGAAATAAAATAAATTAATTTGTATACGCAAAATTTCTTTGAAGTTTGTTTTTTAGTGTCACTCTATGACTCAATAAAGTTTCCGCACAAGGGACAAGAGAAACAAAGGAAGGAGAAAATATGCGCGTGGTCTACGAACAGATATTTACCGGATCATAAAGATTCTGTAGGCGGTTAACGGGTCCGATAGAAGTCAGGTATACTAAATTGACTGGCCTTGATTGGTGTCCAAGAAGGCCAAGTTCAGTGTGAGGTGCCAGTGAGCGTGCGGGGTGCTGTGACCAGACCGTTGTGGCATTCTAGGTCTGACCGCTCTGTTTGTTTGGACTGTCCGTTAATCGTTCTTTTGATGCACCGTTTGTGGACCATACTGTGTGGCTTTATAGAGATGTTAAGGTGTTTGGGTTTGTCAAAGATGGTTTAAAAAAATAACGTTGTAATGGAGTTAATCTTTGCTATTCCAAATGTTTATGATTGGCAGAATGTGGTCCAGAAAAACAACGTGTATAAGGTGGCTGATGATAAAAAAAACAACAAAAAAACAATATAACTGGGATATTACTGTGTTTAACATGTTTGAGATACTAAATAATGAAACAAGTTATAGGTAGGCTACAGTTGAATTGTTTAAAAATAAAAGTACAGTCACATGAAGGATTTTTGAATGAATTTTTAAATACTAACATATTTATTTGCTATCATTAATTTATTCCAAGGGTTTAAGTTTGTTTTGTGATGTTAGAGGTTTTCCCACAGCAGTTTAGACACTTATAAAGGTCATCCAGGGGATTTTTAAGTCATAACAGTAATAGTTTTAACTGGTAACTGTAGAATTGTGCTCTCAGGGTGAGGACCATGACCAAATATTATCATAAAAAATGCACATACATCTTTAGTTATAAAGTTTGTTCCCCTTATGTTTGTTTTGATTATATTTTAAATTTAAATTAATCCCGAGACTCATAATATGACTCACAGCAATATTCTCTAAAAATATTACTTAGTTTGGTAATTTCATATTACTTCACTTTAAGACTTCTTGTACTAGGCCAATTAGGCTGGAAAATAGCGTTGGGTAAGAGTTTTCAACGCCTTTCTCCTCTCGGTTTTTGCTCTTTGACACTGTAAACTTTGATCATGAAATGTGCTCGTTAGTCGTCGAAAACGAGACCGTGGAAGCATCAAGATAACACGACAAGACGCATGCTCTGGGAATCGGCACACAGGCGTTCACGGGGATCGGGAATAACTGGGTTCTATTGCTCCATTACTCGATCAGCAATGTACCGACATGGAGTTTTCAGGGGCGGGTTGTTATTAAAAGCACATCAGGCTCGACAATGGCTCCGAACCTTGTTGGTCGACGTTCGTGTGGCTATTGTCCTCCTAGGATTCGGAGATCACGAACTCTAGATCGAGGCCACTGGGCCGTAGTGTCGTGATTGTAAATAGATTACAGCATACATATGTCATAGAAAGAAGGTGTTGAATATATTATGTTTGCTTAGAAAATTCACCATATAAAACTATATGCCTTTTCCTTATAATCTATCACCCAAAGACGATTTGACAGCCTACGTTGGCCGTGAGGCATACCTTCTAGTTTCCTTGTATTTGGTGGCTGTATCCAGAGCTATGTGAGAATGTTTGGTGTATTTTTTGTTTAGTGACACAGATGTGTGTACATTATGAAATTTTAAATCAAGTGCAACTGCAAATAATGGATGATCTTCACTACGAATTGACATTTTCTAACGTTTAGATAAATCCCTGTAAATTATTTATCAGATATCAGCTATGTCTACTTTTGAACAATGTCTCTAAAGTATACAGCAAACGGAACATTAAAATTGCACCCACACTGTGCGGAAGAAGACAAAATACAGAAACAATTCTCAAGCGAATCAGCGTTGACAAAAATGTTAGGATAGGCTTGGAAGATAGTTGACTGGGAGGTTTGCTTCATCTCTGTAATTTAGGCGAACCTTACGGTTGATAATGACGCAAGCTAA